ATAATGATAGCATCATCCACTCCAACCACTCAAACATCATATCATGGATATCAGCACCCACCCATGTGCCCAGCCTCCCTGCCACCTGCCAGCAGCAGGTTGCTGAGCACCATGGTGACATCTGTTTTTGTTGTGGGTGGCACCAGCCCACCCCTACATATGCACTGGTTCTGGTGTCCAAGCCTCACAGCATGCCACACATCAGTGAAACCAAAATCATCACATACATGTACATGATGGTTTTGGTATCCAAAATGCCCACCTGCCTGCCTGCGCCCTACATGCCTGCCCTCATGCCCACCTGCCAACCCACCCACTGCAGCCTGCCCACCCAGCAGCAAAATGCCACTCTTTCTGCACAGAAACAGTGAAATAAAGTGCTTTAATGTGAATATTCCATAGTGAACTACATGATGGAATAATGAGCTTATTTGTTAGTTACACAGAATATTCAAGTGATTATGCACATGTGTTGAGATAAAATGTGGTTGTCTGACTCCAATTTCATTTTCTGCTGTGTGAAATCCCATCACAATGTTCCCTGTCAAAGTGTCATGACAGAATATTGATGCAATGCAAGCAATAATCCAATAGAATATTGATGCAACACATGGCCAAGTGCTACTACTGCAACAAGGTCAGCCAACTCAAGAGCAACTTTTGGTAAGGCCAACAGCACCAGCAACAACAACAGTACTCTCCACAGAGCACAAGGAGGAAGAGCACTGGTACCTCAACTGAGGCATGCAAGCTCATCCTCAGAAAACTTCAAGTGCAACATCCACATCTACAGCACCATGCACATGACCATCCATGTCAACAGGCAGCCACAACACATCACATATGCCAATTTGCTCTACAACAGACACAAAGAAGTCCAAGACCCCCAAGAAGCCACCTGCAAGACCAAACCCAACAAACATCAACAACAATTAGAGGGAACAGGCTCAATCAAAGACATCAACCTGTGGATATGCACCAGGTGGTGATGCTGTAGACACAAGGTTTTGTGTGTAGAAATTCCTTGCTTGTCTTTGCCCCACTTGACATGTGATGTGTGAGTGTTGTTGTTGTGTGTCTCTGCTGAATGCATGCTTGCTGGTTTGGTGATGATGATGATGTTGTTGCTCCTGTTGGACTCTCAGAGGGCTTCACAACATTCACTTGACTCTGGCCTCCTCCACAGGCAGGCATGAAAGTGGAAGCTGCTTTGTCATGCTGTGGTTGTTGAGACACCACCCATCAGGTGAAGAAGTGCGCAGACATCCTTCCTCCTGCTGCTTGCAACACTCATCTGTGGTTCGGCGTCACGCCCTTTTTTTTACGGACTATTTTCCGGGATGATTGCTTGAGGCTTTTCCTTTCTGCAGAATTTTCGTTTGTGCTGCACAAAGAAGACAGAAGGTCGCGACACGAAGATGGCGGGCTCCAATCCACTGGCCAAGTATAAGCTCGTATTTTTGGGCGATCAGTCCGTCGGGAAGACGAGCATAATCACTCGGTTCATGTACGACACGTTTGACAACACATACCAGGTTCGTGCCGCCCACATCCATCCTTCAACACTGCCGATCTTGTCTTTTCTTTTTTTGGTACCAAAACAAAAATACTCACAACTACAATTACTTCGATGT